TTCATGACAGCCCAGAACTAACAGCTGTCATCTGGAGAGAACTTGCCCGGCGCCTTAGGGTTGGACAGACAGACTGTGGGTGCTCACACAGCCAAGTCTCAAAGCACTGTGACAAAATCAAGCAACCATACATGTGACACATGAAATTATAAGGTACATATAAAGTAGCAAATAATGATATAACAATGGTGACATGGAACTAGGTGGCCTGGGGCTTTGTTGGCAACCCTAGTCTAGCTCTGGTTTTTAACAGTGTTTAAAACACAAACCCAGAAAACATCAAATACCCCAGAGGAAGAGACTAAATTAAAGACAGGCTCTGAAGGTCTAACATACAGATAATAGAAGCCCCTGAAGAAACGGAAACAATTAAAAAAAAGCAAAATAATTCCAAAAACATAACTCAAGGCAATTACTTAAAATTAAAAAATAAACTTGAAAGGCAAGAGAAGTGGCTCAGTGGTTAAGAACACTGGCTGCTCTTCTAAAGGACCTGGGTTCTATTCCCAGCACCCCCATGGCAGCTCACAGCTGTCTGTAACCCCAGTACCATGTGATCTGAAACCCTCATACAGACATCCATGCAAAGACACCAATATGCATAACAAATAAAAATAAATCAACCATTTAAAAATTAAACTTGAAATTATATGGGGCTGGAGAGATGTCTCAGCACTTGCTCTCTAAATTCTAGGCCTTGAGTTCAAATTCCTGTGTGTGTCTGAAACCCAGTATTGGGGGAGGTGGTGGTGGGGCAGGGTTGGAGAGAGGCAGGTTTCATGAGTTTACTGTCCAGCCAGCCTGGCCAAAATGGCAAGCTTTTGGCTTAGTGAGAGACCTGGTCTCAAGATAATAAGACAGCAATAGATGGAGACACTGACATCACTCTCTGGTACAAAATAAGAGACATCAGAGAAGATGAGAAGGAAGAGGAAGAAGGAAAGGGCTGGAGAGATGGCTCAGTAGACAAGAGGACTTGCTACTCCTGCAAAGGAACTGAGTTTGTTTCCCAGCATCCACATGGAGTCTCCTGTCTAAATTCCAGGTCCAGAGGACACCCCCCTTCTGGCCTCCATGGGCACTGTATACACATGGTATACAGACATACATGCACGCAAAAGGCTCATAAGCATAAACTAAAATAAGCAAAAAAAGTAAAAGTATATCTGGGAGTGGAGGGATGATGGCTCACTATCTGCTCTTCCAGAGGACTCAGGTTCAGTTCCCAGCACCCACAAGGCAGCTCGCTCAGACAAACATACAGGCAAAACACCAATGCACATAAAATTAAAAAAAAGTTATTTTTAAAAAAGAAAGAAAGAGTCGGGCAGTGGTGGTGCACACCTTTAATCCCAGCACTTGGGAGGCAGAGGCAGGTGGATTTCTGAGTTCGAGGCCAGCCTGGTCTACAGAGTGAGTTCCAGGACAGCCAGAGCTACACAGAGAAACCCTGTCTCAAAAAACAAGAACAAAAACAAAAACAAAAGAAAGAAAGAGAAAGGAAGAAAGAAAGACTCCATCTGAGGTATGGTTGATGGCTCAGTGGTAACATGTCTGCCTCTTAACCATGAGGGTCTGAGCTTGGAATCCCTCATATAAAAAGTTGGGCATGGTGGCATGTCCCTGTAACCTTAGGGCTCAGGGACGGAGACAGGCGGGTGTCCGGTGCTCACTAGCTACCCAATCTAGCTGAACTGCTGAGTTCCGGGTTCAGTAAGAAACTGTGTTTCAAAAATTAAGGGGAAGAGAGCTAGAAGACACTGATGTCGAACTTTGCTCCGCTGCAGGTAGGCATTTGCGTATATACAGGGATGCCCTGAAACCTAAAAGCAACATCAAAGCCAAAAACAGCATGGGGCTGCCGGGATAAAGAACTAACTCCACAGCTATAGCAGCTAAGGAGGGGTGGGGCCAGAGTGCCTGGACCCACTGCAGAGCCCAGGAGAGGACAAACTCCCAGGATCCCATCTGAAGGACACAGAAGCAGGAGATCCAGCCTTTCCTGGCTAAAGATCTTCCACAGAGATAACCATTGCTCAGGACGGAAATGCACACAGGAGGCTGACACCGCTGACACTGATGGTAGCAATAATGGTTTTGGGTGAAAATATCAAATTAGAATTGAGAAGGAATGCTTGCTGCTGTCAGCGAGCTTGGAAAGAGTTTTGTTCCTAGCATCCATACAGGGTGGCTCTTAACCATCTTTCACTCAAGCCCCAAGGGATCTGACATTGTTTTCTGACCTCTACAGACACCTGCATACAGGTGGCATACAGACATATATAGAAATAAAGATAAATATTTTCTAAAAATCAAATTAGGGCTGGAGAGGTGGCCCAGTGTTTATGAGCACACACTGCTCTTGCAGAGGACCTGAGTTGTGCTCCCAGCATCCACATCAGACTGCTCTCAAGCACCTGTAACTCCAACATCAAGGATGCCCTCTTCTGGTCTCCATGGCAACAGAGGAGAAGCTTCCAGACGCTGAGGGTGGAGGGAGGGGAAGCCGAGTTCTGGACCTGGGAGGTAATGCTGCCACTGGGCTGGGCCACCTGTCACTCCCATCACTCAGTGCTTAGTGAGAGTTGCTGTATTTATTTTTTAATTCTATTTGGAAAAGTTTTTTTTTCTTTAATTTAAGTGAGAGTCTGTTTTCTTCACTCAAAAAGCTACTGATAGGGTCACTTTCAGAAAGCAATGACCACCCTGGCCCTGTTACTGGGTCATCTTCTGCCAGCTCTGCTGCCCCCGGTGTCCCTATCCCTGGGGGACTTCCCCAGCTCCCCAAGGCCTGCCTCAACACCCCTTTCCTGGGCATGGCTTCCTTTTGCAATCCCCTAACATCCTCATCCTGTCTTCCTTTGCTCCATGGCAAAGTTTGAATTTACTGTAGGGCACACAGTCACTGACCATTTGTTTGGTCTGGCCCCTCTGTGGGAGGGTGAGTTTTCTGTTTGTATCCCAGCCATTTCCAACGGTGCCTAGAAGTCTGTACAGAACTGAGAACCAAAGGGAGAGGCTGTCGTGCTGTTCTACTTGGTGTGGCTCTGGCTGGGGGCCCTGTCTAGTTGTCACAGCCAAGATGTTGGTGTCTGGAGAGGCAGCTCTCCTTACAGAGTGGGCCTGGGTGACATTTGTCCCTGCCCAGCCCAGGTAAGCATAGGAGCACAGAGAGCCAAGTTCCATAACCAACAACCAAGTCCAAGCAGGTGCTGGGGGCCTGGTACTGTGCCACCAAGGATGTCATGTATAGTACCATATATATTTCCATCAGAAAAAACAGTCTCTGTGTCAAGGAGATCACCCTAACTTCCAGCCCTTCACAAGTTAGAAAGCAGGAACTGTCAGTCAAAAGTCCCTTCTGAGTCTTCCAAGACCCCTTAACCACCAGGCCACGCCCATTTCTTCTCCCTGCCTGGCCTCCAGGCTCTGGTCTGCTTCTTCCTGCTGCTATGCACTCTGGGAAGCTCTTCATCCATCTAGCAAGCCCCACTTTCTTTCACACCCAGGGAATCCCTGCCTAGAGCCCCTGTGGAACCTGGAGCCACAGAGTAAAGAGGACACACCCCAGCCTTTGCTGGTCCTAGATCAGAGCGGAGCAGGCACAGTCAAGTTAAGACGTCATTAGCCCAGCTCAGAAACCCAGAGCTCAACCTGCAAGAAAACGGTTCCTTAAGATAGGGTCTCATGTTGCCCAGGGTAGCCCCAAACTTGCTATGCAGCTGAGGATGACCTCAAATGTCTAGTCCTTCTGCCTCTGCTTCCTCGGTGCTGGGATTCCAGAGCTATGCCACCATGCATATCTTATGCAGGGCTGGGATCAAACCCAGGGTCTCCTGTGTGCTAAGCAAGACCTTTCTATCAACAGAGCCACATCCCCAGCCCTGGTAAACAGCTTCAACTTATTAATTCAGTGTATCTCCCCCCAGAGAGCTCTACCAGGGAATATAGTTATCTCCATTTTTCTTTTAGATAGGTAAACTGAGGTCCAGAGTCCAGGGCTTTCAAAGCCAGTAAGTGGTGGAGCCAGGCTCTGAGCCTGAATAGTTTCCTGTCTTTAATCTTGTGCTAGGAGCAAACAGAAGCATCTGCTGTCCAGGAGGAGGGAATGCTGGGAGAAGGGACACCTGTGCCAGCCTGTGGGAGGAAGGGCTGGTAAGTCCCAGGCCATGAGAACAGCAGTATAGCATGACCACACCTGCAAAGGGCCAGCTGTTCAGGGGAGCAGGGCTGGGACTTGGGGTGTGGACAAGACTGCTGGCCGTGCCGGCCCAAGGCCTTTGCTGAGACACCTGTATTTGCTCCTAATGACAGTGAAGGTGTGGTCAAACTTAGAGTGACATTCAGATCCCAGGGGCTACAACTAGGGAGATGGAGGAGCTGGGGCAGGGAGGGGCAATTTCCTGGGCCTGTTGTAATGGACCTTTGCCTCCTCAGCCTCTCCACTCATTCTAGAACTTCGGGCAATGATGCCTGGACCCCGAGACTCAGCTCCTTGATAAGATGGGACAGAAAAGGTGGTGGCAGCTGGGCCTGTTGAGGCTGCATCAGGTCAACTAGGCTCCATTGTTACCAAGGGCCAGTGGAGCCCAAGAGGTTCCCCCTAGATGTGGGTTTGAGAGAGCGAGCTGGTGTGCCCCCCCATATCCATGATGCTTGTGCAGGTTTGTATGTGTGTGTGCCTGGGGCCACGTGTACATGTGTGTGTGCACGCATGTGAAAGCTACAGGGTGACAGCTGGTCTTTTTTCAAAAGCTGATTCACAAGGCTATCTGGCTAGCAAGCCAGGGATCCCCCTGTCTCATCTCCGCAGAGCTGAGATTATAGGCATGTGCCACCATGCTTGGACTTCTACATCGGTGCTGGGGATCTGACCTCAGGCCCTCATGCTTGCAGAGCAAGCTCTATACCACCTGATCTGAGCTCCCAGCCTCAGCGCCTCCTTCCTTGAACTGCAGCCATCTGCTTGAGTGATTCTGGCCCTGGGGCCTGATACTCACCACCACCTCCAGGTCTGAGTTCAAGTGCCGCTGGGTGTCAGACATCTGAACCAAGATCTCCCCTGGAGGCAAGAGAGGTTGTCTTTAGTGTGGGGAGCCTGTTCTACCTGCCTTCCTCCTGGCAGAAGTCAGCCAAGCTTGGGATATTCCTGGCTAGATTAGGGACCAAAGTCCAAGGATTTCCATATGGCTCTCTGATTTAGGACTTGGCAACTCTGGCTTACAGGAAGGGATAGGGAAGAGCTGGGGTACAGACATGAGAGATGGGGCTCGCACTGGCCACAGGCCTGTGTTGAGGTGGAGGCTTTAGGAAGGTACATGTACAGTAGGAAGTCCCGGTAAACCCTAGAGTGGACCACACAGGCCCAAAGCCTGAGGAGACAATAAGAACACAGGGAAGCTGGCTAGGGGTGCCCATGCCTTTAATCCCAGCACTTGGGAGGCAGAGGCTGGTGGATTTCTGAGTTCGAGGCCAGCCTGGTCTACAGAGTGAGTTCCAGGACAGCCAGAGCTATACAGAGAAACTCTGTCTGGCAAAACAGAATAACAAAAATAAAACAGCAAAGCCCAAGAGAAGCAAGGGCCTAGAGCTGGTGCAGTTGGCAGAGGCTTGGGGAGACAGAGTCACCTTACCCAGAATCTGTGATGTGGAGCTCTGTAGGGCCTGCTCCCCAATCTTCTGGATGGCGCTGAAATATACCTCAGCTGCCTCAGACAGAGCTGCAGGAGAGGTCAAAGGTTAGGAACAGTGCTCAATCTGCACTACCCTGATTGTGTGGAAGAGATACTGAGAGGGGATGGAGTCGGGAGAGGTGTCCCTGGGTGATGTCCAATACTACCAGAGAACAAAGAGGCCCCTGCCCTGGCTGCTGCTGAGGAAAACCTTCTATGTGTCTCCTGTGGAAGGGCTACAAGCCTGTGTGCCCAGGAAAGTGTAAGTAATGTGTTGTTGTAAAGCTAAGGGCAGGATACATAGTGAGGGCCAGCTGTGTGGAAAGACACCTCTGCTCTAGGTGTGTGTAGGGCAAGGGCGGGTAGTGGAACCCGGGGCTGAGGGTGAGCCCGCAACTAGTAAGGTGCTGAGCTGTGGTTGCAGCCCCAGTGAGGGCAGGGGCTGAGTACCAGGGTAGACTCACCATGAAAGGCCCGGAGATAGTTGTTGCCCAGATACACCAGATTCTCCAGGGCGGGATTAAACTGCTCCATGATGCTCTGGACCCGAGGGCAATGGATGCCGGCCATGGTGGTGAAAAGAAGGACAGATGGACAGAAGCACTTAGCCCTGTGAGGCCACCCTGACCCTTGGGGTTACCAGAATCCTGGCTGCTTCCTACGGAGGCCTTAGAGGCATCTTCTAGGAGCCAATCCCAAGCCAGGTGTCCCTCACAGCCAGCTTCCAACGCACACTTGCCTCAGAGAGGTTTGGTCCCTCCTGACATGGTGAACCTCAGAGGTCTCTTGGTCTCACTGGTTGAATGATACCCACCTATCTAATGCTTCTCCACTACTGGACACAGCTCAGTGGTCTGTGTCCAGGCCTCACCAGGATACCTGTTGATATTACCCTACATCTCAAAAAGACCCCCCCAGGGGTCCACCTTGTGGCTGGGTTACCACCCTGGGCTGTGGTCCCCTGGAGGGACACTCTGGGTAGTGGAAGTGACCCCCACACTTCGAACTGGGCCTTGACTCCAATCCGGGCCGCACCTCTTGGTGACCTTGAACAAACTGTTTAACCTCTTGTGTCTCATTGATCCAACAGGCTGGCTACTTCCTACCTCATGGACGAGGGTGTGTGAAGCGTGCATGGGGAAGGGGCTTGCATCTAACTCCCCAACCCCACACCTCCATGCTAGCCCAGCCTGGGCTCTCCCTCTGTCCTGAAGCCGGCCTAGTTTCTACATGCTGGCCATGGCCCATGAGCTCACCTTGTAGATGGCCATGGTGGACCTGTAGAACTGGTCCATTTCGGGGGCCATGGAAGGTGGTGCTGGCACTGAGGCAGGTGGGACAGCCTGGCTGGGAGTGCTCGGTGCTCAGTGCTCTGGACAGGTGGCAGGAGGCTGTAGAGTAGGGCCTGCAGGTGCAGTGCAGTCTGGGAGGAGGTGGCTGCTTAATTATTCACCAGCCCGGGGGGATGTCAATGTGATCTGGGGCGTAACCAGACCCCACGGGGAAGGCGTCCTGTGACGCAGGCAGGCTCCTGTGACCTGCCCTTCAATTATTTATCCCCTGGGCGTGGACTGGTGGGCAAGTGTGGATGAGCCACTTTCCCAGGTCGCCTCCTACTCAAGGCCCCATCCCTGGGAGCACCTGTGCTGTCCTCTGTCCTATATGGCCCACCTTACGGGTCTGGAGCACACACCCTCCTGCCAGAGCAAGCCGAGGCACCCTGGAGGTAAACCCATATGGAGGACAAGCCTGCTCTGACAGGCCTCATCTCTGCTTGGGACCCAACACCTTGAGGGGGACCCTGCCCAGCTAGCCCCTTGTCCCCGCTGTGCTGGGGACGGAACCCAGGACCTCACATGCTGGGGAAGTACTTGACCACTGAGTTGCTGCTCCAAATGGCAGCAAGGATGACGTGAACATGAGTCCCACAGACTCTCGTCTCTCACTGCCCAGCTCTAGGGGTCTCCTAGGTCTCCCCGGGCAGATGGGCCTGGCACTAACTCTGCTTCTCTATTGGCCTGTTGTATCAGGTCATGTGTGCGGGAGCAGGGCTGGGGGCACATTCATACAATGGCACACACTGCAGAAGTGAACTTGAGTGTAAACCCGTTTATTTCACAGTTGAGGTGGCCTTGAGCCCCTCCCCATTCTCCTTCCAGAGGAGAGCATGTGCACAGGATTGACCTTTGGGAGCTAGGAGGGCCCCTAGTGGGGTGGCTGCAGGGTGGAGAGGCTGGCAGGTGCGAGGGGCAAAGTCCAAGGGCGCTGGATTCCATTAGCCTGGATTTCATCTGAAGATGGGGTGGAACCCCATTTCTCTAGTCCCTGACATCAGGAAGTGGGAAGAAGGGGTGGGCAGCAGTGGCCAGGGAGCCTGGGAGGACCCTCTGGGCACACTGGCACCTTAGTGTTGACCTCTGCTATGTGGGGTAGTTGATGGAGTCAGTTGTCCTTCACAGTCAGGGAAAGGGGCTGAGGGGCACTCTGGGCTTTCAGCCGAGAGTGGTAAAGTGCAGATGGACCAGGAGAGGTGCCTCGTGGGGAACCTGTTTGTGCTCCGAGCCCTAGTCTCAGATGGACATGGAGCTGCCAGGCCTAGCATGGCCCTCAGTGTGCCGGGCGGCCTGGCCCACTCCTGCCAGCAGGACCCCGAGCTCAGGGAGACAGCAATAGCTGGACAAGCTTCTGAAACTCCTCCCGGTGTTCATAGATGTAGACCTCGGTCTCCCAGAGGGCGTTGACCAGCACTGCATCGCTGACCTCATCCAGCATGATGTCTGACCCTAGCTGGGGGTTTAGTCTGTTGAGAGAAAGGAAGGAGGAGAGGGTCACCCAGAATGAGCCACACCCGCCTGGATGTGAGGCCACCAATGGCTGGCAGGCATGTGTCCATGAGTCTCATTGGGTCATGGTGAGGCACAGACCTCTGTCGGTGACATGTGGGTTGGTGGGTCTCATCTGGGTGGAGTCAGGCTAGGCCTGAACCTTACCTGAAGTACTGGATGCCGACCATCTCGCACCAGGCCCGGGCACGGTCCACAGCCCGCCCGTCTGGATCTGTGCACTGGTGGGAAGCAGTCTCAGTAAGGCCAGGGCACAGTGCCCTGCTACCTACCCTCTGGGCTCTGGGTTCTAGGCATTCATTAGCAGAGTGACTCTACGTAAGTCCACCTCTCTGGGCCCCAGTGACTGGGCTAGCTGTGCAGAGTCCACCCAGGATCACTGAGTAGCAGTTGGGGCTGTGACAGAGGCCTCCCCTCCCGCCCTCCTAGAGGTTTTGTTCATTTGCATTCCAGCCTTCCATATAGCAGCATGCAGTAAGCAACCTGCGGCCAAAGAACACTTGAAACCCGCACTGGAGCTTCACTGTGGGACCTCGTCAGCCTGGAGACGGAGACTGGATGGTCTCCCAGAGCTGGCTGACAGGGGTGGAGACCCCAAGGGAAAGGATTCCAACTCACACAGTCCACCACCATCTTGCCCAGTTCTTTGGCTCCAAAAACAGTCTTGGCCAGTTCCCAAGGGTTGCTGGGACGAAAGACATCTACACAGGTTACAGGCACTTGAGGGGACTTTCCTGTTCCCAGAGAAACGACTATGGACAGTTTCTTCACCTTGTTGCCCTGGCCCTGGGATGAGCAGGAAAGGGTGGTCAGAGGGGACTTCCCGTAGATAGGGAGAGGAGTCAGAGACAGGCCAAGGCTGGGCGCAGGGCTGTGCGGGGCAGACACAAGGCCTTGGAGCAGGAGCACGCCCAGAGTCCAATCCCAGCCAGGCCCTGCAGCTGCTCCCTGAGTGGGCATCATCACAACCACTTCCTGAGACAGAAGAGGGCCTGCTGTGCCACAGGGCAGGGAGCTGAGGCTGAGCTGACTAGGGGCAGCCTTACACCAGCTCTGCTGCCAATCTGCTGGGTGAACTTGACGGGATTCCCTCCCACTTAGACTGCACAAGTCTGAGGCTGCGTGAACACCTTCAGAACCCCCACCCTGCCTGCCAAGGATGCATCTCAGTTCTCCACGGCTGTACTGGGACTTCCATGACTGTGGAAGCCAGCAGTGTACCTGGCCAGATGCCTTCCAAGTATGGCACCCACTCCCGAGGGCACTAAGACAGGCACTGTCACTAGCTGAAGATTAGAAAGCTGTGGCAGGGTCAGATCACCCACTGTACTGTTCCACCTCCCCTGGCACACGGCCTCGTTGCCCTGCTCTGACAACTTGGGTGAGGGCCACTGCCTGTCCTTGGCTCACTGCCTCGTACCCAGAGGCCTCAGGATAGTTCGAAGCTCAGGAGCCCTTCCCCAGATCTCAACCCTCTCACAGGGCTCTCCTCCCCCTGCCTCTGCAGGTGCGCTCCCAGCACTGACACGCCCAGGAGTAGTGTTCTGTGCAAGGAGTCTTTAAGGAGGATGTAAACTCTTCAGGAGAAGGGTGTGTCCCCACCGAGTAGCATCAGGTACACAGTCTGTACCGTGGCCCCTGCACTAAGGTGCTGGCCACTGATCTCAGACTTCTCTGTACTCGGCATGCCCGGGGCCTCAAAATTCTCCTAGCATGGATACTGCCTATCAGACAGACCCCTCAGGAGATATGATTGCCACTGAGTATTGAACAGGCAAGGGCGTGCATCACCGCTGTTCTCATCAGCAGTGTGTGGTCGTGTCCAACCCCGAGACCTGAGAAGGCTCTCACCTTGCGGATCATGTCCTGATTGTATTCATGGATTTCAGTCATGGCATCCAGCGTGGGGTTATTGGCCAGCAGCCCACCATCCAAGAAGCGTCCATTGGGCCGAAAATACGTTGGGGCTGCCCCACTGCTCCGGGCTGCCCGCCATACCAGCTGGTCTAGGGGTGGCGAAGAGGGTGGGTCAATGACGTAAGATCTATCCTTTCAGATCTCAGGGTAGGTAGGGGAGTACAGGAAGAGGGGGAACTAGGAAGTCTCTAGAACCAGGGCCCACAAGGCCTTGCTGCTGGGTCTTGCTATCCTGATGAAAGGCTGTGTGACACTGTGGACTTCCAGGTGCCCCTTGAACTCTTTGAGGCCTAACAGGCTTCAATGACACTTGTCCTTAGCCAACTAAGACCAGGGCAGTGATGTGGGTGGGAAGGGCATACAATGCTTGTCTGTGACTCTCCATCCCCCAAAGCTTCAGTTAGCCCTTCCCACCAACACAGGCGCTCAGCTCTGACCTGCAGGCTGAGTTGGTGGCTTCAGGTTAATGTTTTGGTTGCAGCGGGGTTCCCGAATGGCCTCTGGAGCATCATAATTCCGGAACAGATGGAGCTCAGCTGGCTGCCGGTCAGACAGTGTCCCTGTCAGCATCACCCTGTGGGAGCAAGGGAAGAGAGCTGGTCCAGCCACTCAACCTCTCTTCAGCAGGCTCATGCCCTAGGCCCCTGTTCTAAATGGGCCCCTCCCCGGCTGGCCACACACTGGCATCTCCGAAGACCTGGCAGCTCCATGAAGGCAACTTGGCCAACTTTGCCCTATCTACTGACAGATATTTTCTTCTATCCTATAACACCATTCTGGAAAGTCACCCGAGGAGGTTACCAGGGCAAGAGCCGGGCTGCACAGAGCCATCCTTTATTAAAATAGATGACAGGGAACATCACTGCCCGTCAGCGAGGCGGCTGCTATAAGGCTGTGGCGCCTTACTCTGAGGGTGCTGTGCCACTGAAGAGAAACTGGGGGGCATGAGTGCCAAGAAGCAAGGTTTGTAAGGTAAAGTAAGGTTTGGGGCAGCCTTCAGACTGCTGTGTTAAAAAGCAAACAATGGACGGACGTAACTACTCACCTAAGTGGAGACCAGCCCTGAAAGGTCCCTGAGAGCAGTGGGCAGACTGCAGCTCCAGCACTCTGGGGCTGAGGTGGGGGGGAGAGGTGTTTGCCACTGTGACCTCTGACACCTTCCTTTTACGTCCTCTTTCTACCCTTTCAAGAGCCCATTAAAAAGTCATACCCCATCCCCCAATCCCTACAGAAGGCTTGGCAGTCTAGACAGGTCCTGTTCTGTTCTTTCAGAGGACCTGAGTTCAGTTTTCAGAACCCGTAAGATGGCTCACAACCATCTGTAACTCTAGTCCCAGAGAATCTGATGCCCTCTTCTGGCCTCTGCAGATACCAGGTGTGTATGTATGCACAGACATACATGCAGAAAAAACACTCATGTAAAAGAACAACAACATAAAGACATCTGTGTCCCCTAATCCTGTGACACAAACCCTTGAGAATTAGCGTGTGTTCAGATCCTTGCACAGCCCTGGTACTGTGAGCAGCAGCTACCCACACGGTGTAGCTAGTTCTAACTGGAACAGCAGCCAAAAAGCACATGTCAGTGAGTGATGAGAATCGAACCTGCGTCCTCTGGAAGACTGGCTACTGCTCTAACTACTGAGTCATCCCCCAGACCCTGGTTTTAATCTTCTGTTGTTGTTT